TAAGTTTTAAAAAAGCCACTCTCCTTCCTTTTTCCCCCTATGCACTGTCCTTGAAAGTGCACTAAATCTTTTCAAAGCACCTTTCCACTCAGTTTTATTTTTGCCGTTTCATTCAGTGTGAGCGATGGAACTCCAGGGACAGGTAGGTGCACCATACTGCTGCGCTTCGTCGTAGTTACAGCCACTGAAGAAAACGCTGTTCTCCAGAATACCTCTTCGAAAGGGAATAATTCTTTTGCCTTTTTTAAACTCCATTTTAGCCCAGATGCATCCTATTTGTAGTCTCTTTAAATTGAAAAAACAATCAGTTAATATTTGTTCAAACTCATTAGTGCTTTTTAATGTGATATTACATACATTTTTGTACTTAATACCTGCTTTTAAGGGCCCATGAGCCTGGAAAAGTGACATCAGTGCAAAAAATGGCTAGGGAGTGTTAGTGCTGATGTAGGAATTTGGGGAGATGCATGCTCTTCACCTCCTGCAAAATATGGAACCACTGCAGTCCATTTTCAGTGTAAATGTAGCTTAAAGCCTGAGCCCAAAATGTTGCCAGTTTGCATAGGTTATCAAAGATAAATGAATATCTGTTTAAATTTTTGTAAGGCATAGGGTGCTTTAGTGATGAAGCTTACTTCTGCATAAATACCAGGTGTGTTGGTGCAGCAGCTTGAGTCATTTCTGCGGTGAACTGTGGTGCATGACTTATGCTTTGCAGCATTAGTGTGAGAAACTGAATACTCATTTCTGTTTAACTATGAAATTGAACTTGCTGCCTCAGATTTTGATTATTTGCAAATGTCAGAAGATCAGTTTATCTTGGAATAACTTCCAGATCACGAAGTGCGTGTTCAGAATAAGTCATAAGTCAAGACAGGGGACTCTCAAAAGTGGTACACGATTTCAGACTTTTGGGGAAAAAGAATGTCTGTAGAAGTCTATGGGGGTTTTTTTCTCAGTTCTCTTACACTTAAGTTTCTGCTTTGTTTTTGTACGGTACCTTGATGCAACAGCAGGGCTTGTCCGTGAGTCCCATTCGAGTTGGATGACCTGTATTCTATATTCTGTGCAAAAGACAGCAAAGCAGAGTAAGTGTTGATTTTTATAAAATATGATGAGTTTGTCCGTTTTTCTATGGGCAAGAGAAAGTAGGTGATTGCAAGAATAGCATAAGCATTCCGATGCTCTGGGTTCCTGAGGACTGGCATGGTGCTGCTATATAGCTGCCTACAACTTCTGAGGTACTAAGTCATTTATTGCTGATATTTTTGTATGTGAAAGTTAATGGTTGTCTCAGCTGTTGCTGGTTTTGTTCTGGTTTGATTTATTGTGTTAGAATGAGCTTCTTGCTTTTACCTTCTGTAGTAGGTAAATTATCTTTGTAAGGAATAAAATATTGTCTGAAACCCTCCCAGACACTGTGCAGCTTGTGCAAGAGGCTCAGACTTGCCTGTCATATGAAATTGGCCTGTATGACAAGCTGGAAAGAAGGCAAGGTAGAGGCCTATCCCTGCAGAGTAGCTGGAGCTACTGCATTTCCTTTTGGATACCTAGAGAGCACCTTTGACGTATGCTTCTGCTGAGCCACTGATGCTTTTCTGAAGCTGATGTCTCAGCTGCATCGTTGCCATGCGTCAGGAATGGTTTGGTTTTTGAGACACGTGGATGCCCTGGCTGCCAAGAAGGCCAGTGGGATCCTGGGGTGCATCAAGAGGAGTGTGGCCAGCAGGACGAGGGAGGTTCTCCTTCCCCTCTACACTGCCCTGGTGAGGCCTCATGTGGAGTACTGTGTCCAGTTCTGGGCTCCCCAGTTCAAGAAAGATGAGGAGCTGCTGGAGAGAGTCTAGGGGGGGGGGCGGTGGATGAGGAGGGGACTGGAGCATCTCTCCTACGAGGAGAGGCTGAGGGAGCTGGGCTTGTTCA